AGAGCACGGTAGAGAAAATAGGTTGATGGTTCTGAAATTTGCCACCTGTTTAGTCTTTTCCCTCCAACCCTGCTTTGATCCTGGGGTACGTGCTGGGGGTGTCCAGCTGATCTCAGTGAGGTCGTTCTGGGTCTGTGCATAGTTCACCAAGGGCTCAGTGATTCAAGCTATGACCTTTGCAGATTCAGTTGCTCTGTGACGTCTTTGGGGATCAAGATGGGTCCCTGAAGTCCAGAGCAATGGATTCCTGGAGACTGTAGTTGCACCACAACTGAACTGCTTTTTAAAATTAAGTTTTAATAACACAGTTAATACAAGAATGCCCACAACCTCAAAACCAAGTTTCTTTACCTCTTCCATAGCTGTAACCATTACTTTAAGCCAATTTTGGTTATATTCTTCCAGACTCTTTTCTTATATTTACATTCATATTTGACCTTGTAGAAAATTTATTTTATTATAACTTTTCTCTAAGGTTTCAAAGGCCTTGTTTGTAAAAATTTTATTTTTGACATAATTTCAAAATGACAGAAATTTGCAAGAACAGTGCAAGGAATATCTGTATACTCTTTACCTGATTTACCAGTTGTTCATATTTTAGTCCCATTTGGTTTATTATTCTCTTTATTAAATATTTTTATGCATGCATTTTTTTTTCTGAGCCACCTGAGAGTAAGTTGGAATCACAGTTCCCATTTGCCCCTAAATACTTCAGTGTGTATTTCCCAGGAACAAGGGGAAATATGTACAACTAGCCCACTCAGGAAATGTGACATTAACCCAATGCTGTTATCCAATTCACTGTCCAGATCCAGATGTCATCAGTTGAACCACTGATGTCCTCAGACCTTTCCCTTAAACGAAGAGGCAGAATACTGTAATTGTCGATCTTCATCTTGCTGTTTTCTTCAATGTGTTGGTGCATAAAGGTAGCCCCGTGTTATTACCATGTATGCAGAATTTCACAGTATGAATGTCATCTAGGTTACTGAGCCCTTCCCCTGTTACTGGGCACTCAGGTTATTTCCTCCTTTTTGTCCTTGCAAACATCCTCAAAGATAACTGACTGTTAGTGGGTGTTGCTTTGAATAACTGAGGACATGTAGGGAGGACAGATGAGGACTCGTGATGTTGAAGAAAGTACCTTCAAAAGGGAGTTAAAGAGAAGCTCCTGGTTCACATGGTTTGAGATAATGGCTTTAGAACAACGGAGTTATTCACTTTTCCAATAGACAGTTGTATTTTGAGGGGTGGGGGAGACTAGGAAAGTTCTTGGTGAAGAACAATTCTTAGGAAGATAGTTAACAGCAGTGCTGATTTTTCTAGGTTCAATACTGTATTAGGTAACTTCCACCAGAATGCAGAGGCCTCATTTGCTCTGAAGACCCTTTGATGAAAACAGCCAGATCTTACCCCCCAACAGCTTCACTTCCAAGGCAAGCAATGTTCTCTTGATTGGGACGCTTTTCTCCTGTACACTTAGCAAACTTCCACCAGGGGGGAAGGTTGCTATTTCTGCTTTGTGTGAAGCATTTGGTACCATCTGGGCTGGCTGGATTTCAACAGAGATAGTAAAGAAACATTTATCAAGAAAAATCAAAGTCAGTCTCGCCAAGTGTGGTCTAGAGAGATTTGCCTTCTCGATACATATGCAGCTCTCTTGCTGCTGGGAAACAGGGCTCTACTTTGAAAGCTACAGGAGGGACAGGCTTTGGATCTTAGCCTGAAGCTACTGTCACCTGTGCATGATACAGTGGCTTTAGTAGCCAGAGCTCTTGGAAATGTGAACACTCGGTCCCAGAATCAGTTCCACTCTGTTCCTTTCCATGGAAAATTTCGGCCCCTTTGATAGAGGATAGACCCAAAGGGACAGAAGTAGAAGGAAGGATCTGTAAGGGTTGCGGGTGAGATGAAGTCATGCCTCTATTAGGAATGTTTGGTTCCAGGGACGTTGATGCCCAAGGAGGGGTCATTCTTAAACCATGAGTTATGAGATTGGATGATGAAAACAGATAATATGTATGTCTATGACTGACTGAAACATTATGCTATACACCAGAAATTGACACATTGTAACTGACTATACTTCAATTTTAAAAAAAAAAAGAACGCAACACACTCTTGTGTTGCAGAGAGCTCTCTGAAGGAGCTGTGATGTTGTAAACTCACAATAGAAGGATGCTCTGGTGATTGTCCTGTGGTGTCAGTTTATAAGACAGGGAAGGAAGTGTGGTCTCAGAAGAAAGATGAGCTGTTTCTACTTGCATGTGTGTTGCCAATCAACCAGACAGACAAGTTTCTGGCACTTCATAGCATCTCACATTGTGTTTTTATGCAGCTCTCTAGGTGATAGATGTGTCGTTCCAAGATCCCAGCCTAGAAACTGGCACATGCTGTTTTCCTTGGAAGGCTCCGTCCATGAGAAAGTAACAGTTGGAGATTGTATTCCATAGGGGAAAATGTATGGGGATTTAAGAAATTATATCATCTAGGAAAGCTTTACGTCATGTGTGCTTTATGGTCTAGGAACAGCAGCATCACCTGGGAACTTTTTAGAGAAACAAATGAACAGGTGTCACTCCAGAGATACTGAAGGGTGCAGGGTGCAGACCCTGGGATCTTATAGCCCTGTATCCATTACCTTGTATAACCTGGCTACTGTCTCATTAGAAATCTACTATACTTTGAATAAATTTGGGTTTATATATTCCTTAGGGATGGGATCAACATCTTATGTTGGTCTCACCCCCATCCCCAGCACCTAGCAGAATGGCTAACATATAGTAAGGACTTGCTTATTGAACTCAACCAAACCGAAGAGGAAAAAAATTCCTGCTTTTGGTGCAAGAATGAGATACAACTTGCAGGCTGAGATGGAATTCAACCTGTGGATAAATGGAAGAAAGGGCCATATGCTCGAGTGCAGAGGAATGTTGACAGAATAAGTTGCAGCTTGCATCCTGTCCCTTTTCACTCTTCTCTCAGTCCACGCAGCCCTTGTCTCATCTCGTTTATTCAGTCCCAACCCCTTACTAACTATATGATCTTAGGCAAATCAGACACTACCACTCCCTCCCCAGCCCCATGCCCTCCTCACCCTGACTCCATCCCAAGCAGTGGTTTGCAACTTGAATGTAGGAAAATAAAGGGAACATCTTTGAATTGAACTTGGGCTGGGTTTTGTCAGATAAAATGGAAAGAAAGAGGAGCAAAGGAGCTGAGAGTGTTTCAGGGAATGATTATAATGCATCCAGAACTCTAAACTGGGGGTGAGTGGAGTAAAGGAAAGAAGGAATAGGGAGAAAGAGAAGATATATTGGGCTCAACAGACTGGTGATGAGAGACTTGTAGCAGTGGGGTACTAGACTTAATGTACTGGAAAGTTGGCAAGTGGCATAAGATCGTGGGGTACATGAAACTGAGTTTGAGAGAACAGTGTGGTTTCTGTATGTTAAGCATCAGGGAGGAGGAGGCTGTGATGTGGTGGAAGCAAAGGTTGTAAGGAGTGAGGGGGATGCTTTATCCCCTACTTTTCTGTTTCTATTATCTTAGTGCACTTATGAAGCATTTTGAAAAAATATTAGATGATGGCTGAGGTGATGGGTATCTTTGTCTTATTCCTGACTTTATGGAATTTATCATTAACTTTGGAGCTATTATTTCAGATATCCTTTATCCTGTGAAGAAAACTTCCTGTTATTTCTGGCATGGTTTTCTCCTTTGACCTGTAAAAGTGATGCGTATTCTAATAATAGATTTCCAGGGTTGAACCATCTTTGCATTCCTGATAGGAGTCATTATATATTAGCCTTCTAGCAGATAGTTTGAGTCAATCTGCTAATATATTGCTTTGGATTTTCCTATCAGAAGTGGGATAGTTGGCACTGTCTCCTTAAGATCTAAACAATTCTCATTTTCTTATCTCTTTCCCTGGGCTAGCGATGTTACTCATTTTTGAGCTGACTCCTAGTTAACTTCTTCCCATTTCTCCAGGCTGATGTCTTATTCCACCTCATCCTTCTATGCCCAGGTGCATCTGCACTCCTGACCCTCTGCGTCCTTTCCCTTTCTGAGCTGGTCTTACAGCTCCTTTACGCAGGGTGGTCTTGGTTGCAGGTGGAGCCTCGCTGTAGCGCTGCTGTTTTTCGAGCCTTCTCTCTATGGGCTGTCTGGGTACTGGTTGTGGGTGCACTTTGGTTTAGAGGGCAACTCTTTTAGCTCTTTCTTTTTGAATTCAGAGAAGATTCAAATAACACAAGATTCACCACTAACCATTTTAAAGTACATAGTTCAGTGACATTTAGTATGTTCATGGTGTTGTGCAACCATCATTTCTGTCTAGTTCCAAGAAATTTCATCACCTGTAAAAGAACCCCCCAAAACCATTAGATGGTCACTCCCCATTTGCCATGCCACCAGCTCCTGGCCACCACTACTCTGTTTTCTGTCTCTTTGGATTTACCTGTTCTGGTTGTTTCATATAAATGGAATCATAGAATATGTGACCTTTTGTGTCAGAGCATTCATGTGTTCATAGCAGCATAATTCACAATAGCCAAAAAGTGGGAGTAGCCCAGATATTAATCAGCTGATGAATGGAGCCACAAAATTTAATGTATTCCTACAAGGGAATCCTATTCAGCCATAAATGAAGTACAGTGTGTATGAATCTTGAAAATATTATGCTAAACGAAAGAAACCAAACTTTCTTGTAGACTATTTGGAAAGCAAGCTTTGAGAACATAACAGTTATTCTCAAGGGCAGAGTAGGGAGAGTGATATGAATCTCAGAAATCAATTTTAAACCAATAGAGAGCAGGGTCTACAAATTATGAATTGATCTCACTTTGTTAACTTCTTAGCTATTGGTGTTAATGAATGGAAATTCCCATTAAATGTGAGGCCAAGGACCTTTTCACAGGTTCCACAACCATCACTGGTTGGTGCTTAAACATTTGGGGGCTGTTAATACTGAAACTGTTTTTTCTTTCTGTTTTTAGTAAGAGATGCTAAAAACCTTGTACCTATGGACCCCAATGGCTTGTCAGATCCTTATGTGAAACTGAAACTGATTCCTGATCCCAAGAGTGAGAGCAAGCAAAAGACCAAAACCATCAAGTGCTCCCTCAACCCTGAGTGGAACGAGACATTTAGATTGTAAGTTAAAATGACGGCAGCCTGGCCTGAGGGGTGCAGGTTGGGTCATGGTCCCCCTGAGATGGGAGAGGCCCTCTCCCAGCTTCCTTTTCCTTCCCTCCTTCTTTGCCTTCTTCCTTCCTTCCTTCCTTCCTTCCTTCTCTCCCTTCCTCTCCTTCCATCTGTATTTTTTCCTTGCAGGCCAAGTAAAAATCAGAACCTTTTTTAATAGTATTGAGAATGTCTCTGGCATGGGGAAGTGGGTGGGATGGAAAATAGTGTGATGTGTTGCTAGTGTGAAGGATTGTGGGAGGAGCTCTTGGTCTTGGCAGACGTGGGCCATGACCTACAGGGTGTGGTGACAACCTCTCTAGGGCTGGGCATGTGAATGATGCTGGGCCTACGGTCTGCTGGGGGCTCTGCTGACTGCTATGGGGGTCTTCCCTGGCTAGTGCTCTAAGAACATTGGCTCACTCTTTGATGCATCTGGGCCAACAAATGTGAGAGATGTCCACCATTACTTATTGAACATATACTACATATAACAAGCACTGTATGGAGTGATCCAGCTTCGTTGGTTATTTCATCCCCATTTTATCAATGGGGCTGAAAAAGGTTAAAGAACCAGCGCCCACAACAGATACAGGGTAGAACAAGATTTAGCGACAGACAGTCTGACTCCAAGGACATGAGCCAAAAGCATGGTTCCTTATAGTAGCCCCCTTCCTGCTTTCCTCTCTCAGAGCAAAACTGGGCACCCATCTCAGCCTCAGACAAGGACATGCCTTAGAACAGGCAACCTCCCTGATCCCACACTTTCCCCATCCAACAGATCGGCACCAGCAAGACTTTCCTGTAGACATATCCTCAGCCTCAGCCTCAACCCTCATGTGTGCAAACACTCGCACAATTGAATGATTGACATCATGGTTCTTAGAGTGCCTGTGTCCGTCTGTGAACATCACGGATCCTATTAAGACATAAGGCAGCAGAAGTAGTTAGACTGTCCTGTCAGAGCTGGCCTGGGTCCTCTGCTTGTTTAAGCCACAGGCTGTAAAACAGGAAAAGCTCTGTCTCCCTGGGGAGCTTGCCTGGGATGGAAACTGAATATGTTTCTTGCAGCAGCTTGTAATCTGTAACCATTCCTGCCTTCGGGCTTTGTCCTCTTAGACGTTTCGTCTGCCTGAGAAATCTCCATAATGTCCGCTGACTTCTCTTTTTCGCCCCCTTGCAGCCAGCTGAAAGAGTCGGACAAGGACAGAAGACTGTCCGTAGAGATTTGGGACTGGGATCTGACCAGCAGGAATGACTTCATGGGATCTTTGTCATTTGGGATTTCTGAACTGCAGAAAGCTGGCGTTGACGGTTGGTAAGGAAGGTTTTGCTTTGAAAGCTACCATACGGCCTCATGGGTATGTTGTATTTAGTCCTCGTGCTAAAAAAAAAAAAAATTAGTTGCCAATATTTTCAAAATCAAGATGTTTCCCATAAAAATCTGGGCTTAGGAGGCAGCAAAGGAGAACAATTGAATAGTTAATCCCCCCTTTAGACAGGACATGGATTTTTATGTTTGCCACAGTCCTCACGAGTCCCTATCGCTTTACATCTGCCCCGCTTTACGCAGTTATATGACTTGACAGGCCCCACGGGCACTAAGATAGCTCTCACACTTTACCCAAAAGATATGAGTAATCTACTGTCAAAATATGACTTCTTAAGAAGATGTTTCTTTATTGGGATTGTTTATCAAGCCTGGCCACAGAAGTGCTGAGCGGAGAGGGTTGCTGTCATGGTCAGCTGCTGTATCTTCTTTGTTCTGGAGTTTTTGCTTTATTCCCTGCTAAAGGAAAAAAAAATCCTTGCCCAGTATTCCCAGCAAAGAGGATAGGTAAGTCCCCTTGGCAACCATTTCTTTCACCATTAGCTGAGTAAAGGAGTCAGAAGAGATGGTCCAACTTGGCATTAGAACTTCGGGAGGAGTAGTCATTAGGGGCTGCTCCTGTCTCTTTAAGAGAAACTGTCTCATTTCTGAATGGTCCCACTCTGGGCTTTTTCAGTTACAAGTGAAAGACAATCAAAATCAAAACTGTAGTTTAGCAAGAAAGAGACTCCATCAAGGGGATCACACATCTTTGCCATCGTGATCCTTACAACTTTCTTGTCTCTCCTCCACATTTACCACAGGCTTTTATTGAAATACATACTGAGTGTCCACTCCATTCTAGTCACTAGAGATACATCAAGTGTAAGATAGACATAGGGGGAGGATGTAGCTCAGTGGTAGATCGCGTGCTTAGCATGCACAAGGTCCTGGGTTCAATCCCCAGTACCTCCATTAAATTAAAAAAAAAAACCCAAAACTTAATTGCCTCCCCCCCTACCTCAAAAAAAAAGAAAACAGCAAAAAAAAAAATCTTAAAATAAAAAGACAGACATGCCCTCACGGAACTTAGCTTCTACAAAGGGACGATAAACCTTGAAGAAATTATTCAAGTAACTAATGAAAGACAACGTGATATGATGGATGTGAAGAAGGCAGAAGCTGAGAGTATACAGAAAAAAGAAAAAAGAGAGGTGTGTTAAAGCACAGTTTGCAAATGGTTAAAGGCATCATCCTTATACAAATGATAATGAGCATTTGTCAGAGTTTTCCTTAGATTATGAGTAGGGAAACTGAAAGATGAATGGATGATTCTGGAGGTTTGAGAAATCAGCAAATGTCTATTGCTCAGTCTGTCAGTAGACAAAGGAATGCTGAAATAACTTGCCTGAGTTAGGGCAGTAAAATCAAAACCTCGGAGGTTATCTTACCTACCAGACTGAAGAACAGAGTCTCACCTCGGTTTTCTAAAAGTTAACGTCTATCTTTGCAGAGTTGGGAGACCATCTGTACCCTACTGGATTGTGAATAATAAATAATACCACGAGGAAGGAGAGAGCTAATTAGAAAATGCTCTAGCATGACATTAAAAGGTCACACCGTCATCTTTGTGCCTTTCCCCTCCAAGTTTTGGATAATTTTTCTTGACATATGGTTGCTTCGACTTCGCAGGCTCCCGCTATGGCTATTCTCAGATTGCTTGTTTCTTCCTCTTTAAATCAAGTGTAAAGAGGTTAAACAGAAAGAATACAGGATCCCCGGGAGGGGGGGGCATCAGTGAGACAGGAGAGAACATAATAATAATAGCTACCACTTACTGACTTGATGCCAGGCACCGGGCTGGGCTGATCACTTTCCAGGTGTCCTGGAGTCACATATTGATTCAGCATTAATCATATATGCAGAAAAAATATAGTGCTTTATTTTCTATAATGGACCTAGACTTTCTTACACAGTGGCCAAGGAGAAGGGGACCATCACTGCAAGTGGTGGCTTGTGGCCTTCACTGCTGCAGAGTGGCCGACCCTGCCTGGTCCCTGAACCAGTGCCCAAGGAGGCAGGATGAGTCCCACCCCCACCACTCTCCGAGCTATGGGGCATCCTTCTGGCTTTGTGCTGGCCTCCCAGGTCCTGGCTGTTGCCTCTGGTGGTGAGATCCCTCCACACACGACCCTCTTCTGTCTCACCCTGCAGGCCACTGCCAGGCCCAGCCCTGCTCAACACTTCTGTGACTCCTTATTTCTGAGTCTCCTGCGTGGAGATCCGGGAGTGAGTCTCAGATCCTTCCGTCTTCCAACCCCCCACTGCTGTGATGCTGTGGTCCTCCATGCGGGTCTCTGACCGGGGCTCCAGTGAGGAGGGGGCCAAGTCCCTCTGCTTTCACCCTACCCTCACCTTCTTCCTTCCCATGGTTCTCCAGGCCCCAGAGGGCAGGGCTGCCTCCCACAAGGGCTACATCCTTCTTCCTGGGTGAGCGTCTGCCTTGTCTACTCCCCTGAAGCAAACAGCAGGGTGCAGGGTGGACCGCATGTCTTGATGATAAGGGATGGTCCACCAGGAGTAAGTGCAAAAGCCTTTACACCTCCATCATCCTTGAGCTCTCCCAGCAGTTCTGGGTGCAGCATCATTCCCAGGATCAGACTAGCTGAGCGATGTGTGAGGAGCACACAGCTGCTAAGGGCCAGTCCTGGGGTTCGGGTCCACATCTCTGTGATGCCAGCACCTAAGCACCCACACGTCCCATTCGCCTTCCTGATGCGGAACTTGGTGGAGGTCTGGACTCTGGTAGTTGGCTCTTCCAACTGGTGGGATGCTTTGTGACCTCAGGTGAGTCCCTTCACCTCCTGTACCACAGCCTTCTCAGCAGGTATGATTCCATTCATTGGGAATTACAGCCCTCCCCTCACCCCCATCTTCCTCTTAGGATAGTTGTAAAATCTGTGAAATAATAGTAGGGAGGGAACTTTTGCAAAATAAAAACCCTCTTCAGGTTCTGCAGATAAAAGTCCTCTTCATTTAGGACCAAGACATCTCTGACGCTGTCTTACCTTGAAATGTACCAAATTCTAGAAATCTGGGTTCCTGTCCCCATATGATCTTGGATGAGTCCCATTCCCTCTGTGAGACCCAGCTGCCCTGCCTGGAAGGGGCTGAGCTCTCCCAGCTATTCTGTTGCTATAATTTAAGACCATGTGGCAGAAACAGCAGAAGCAGCTTGGAAAGCTTCCAGAAGCTTCCAGATGTGGTGCCCCAGCCCCAGGCCTCTCATCTGCTGCTTCACCACCAGTCCTGTGTCTGCTGTCAAATCCCCTTCTTTGTTTCTAATTTTGTTTATTTAAGCTATGTTCTTTCTCTCCCCTTGTTTTTCAGAGATTCGTCTCCTTTACTTTTTTTTTTTTTTTCTTCAAAGAATGAGCTTTGGGATTTGTGTATCAATTCTGGGTTTCTGTTTTCTCCTCTGCTGTAGATCTGTTTCATGGTTGTCTTTGAATTTCAGTTGAATATTTTGCTAATTTATTTTTCTGTCTTAACTTACTCCACTATTTAAAAATAATGGACATGGATTGGAAGGAACAAGTATTTCCTCTGTTTTGATGTCACGTTGGAGCTTTTGTAGCTTACTCAAAGTCTGCCATTGTATTTTTAATTTTCTTTCTAACATGTTTTTATTTAGGCATGTTTTATAGCCTCTAGTCTTAGCTTTTTGATTACATTTTTATTATTAATGTTAAACGACAGTGTTAGTGCTTTATAGCCGGAGAATATAGCCTGTGCACTGTCCTTCCTTTCCTTCCTTCCTTCCTTCCTCTCTCTCTCCCTCCCTTCCTTCCTTCCTTCCTTCCTTCTTTCTTCCTTCCTTCCTTCCTTTCTTTCTTTCTTTCTTTCTTTCTTTCTTTCTTTCTTTCTTTCTTTCTTTCTCTTTCTTTCTCTTTCTTTCTTTCTTTCTTTCTTTCTTTCTTTCTTTCTTTCTTTCTCTTTCTTTCTTTCTTTCTTTCTTTCTTTCTTTCTTTCTTTCTTT